AATTTTACAGGAAGAAAACCACAAAACAGCCTAACCTCAAATAAAAAAGCAATCTAACATACGCAAGCAGACTAGCAAAAATCACTGTCATAGAAATTATAAATGGTCCTCACATCTGTGGGATCAGTTAGCCCTTTCTAATATTTAAGGCAGATACAGCACAAAAGCATCATTACCTCCACAAATATATTAGGCCTCAAAAAGTCATAAACTTTTCAGGAATCCTTGCACCAGCAACATCACTGAAGCTATACTGTGACAGCATAGCAACCAGATAATCTCTCTGGCATCAGTGACATTTTATAAATATGGCTGTGATACCACACACACACTTTAGGACTTCTGAACCAGTATAGCAGGCGTTATCTGAAAGGTATCAGAGATTCACAGAGAAGCATTATCAAGGCTTTCAGAAAGTCCCTGGATAACCACACTCCTTCAGTGACATTAGCACCTAGTTAGACTTGCTTAAAAGCAATGTATGCACTTGCAGAGCTGCTAACTCATGAAACCAAAACTTGAAAATCTTCTAAAGTCAGCTTTGACTCAGTTGTTCTGAAGGCTGTAATAGGTGACTATAGTGGAACAACAGAGCTAAGATGCAGTTACTAACGCAAACCAAATAATACTAGATGCTTTATGGTCTACAAACACTGAGTCAGGATCTGTGACTGGGGTCCCAGGTAAGAACTACCTCCCTCTTGCTTGCCCCATCAGCTGGGGTTTCCTCATTCTGCAGTGCTCACTACTCTACTCCAAGCAAAGCTGGAGGGACAGAGAGGAGAACAAAAGCCCATAAAGAGGCAATGTGCCTACAACCTTCTCCTTCCCCCTGATGTCTGCCAAAAGCAGAGATGAGACCCACTAACTGGCTGCAGCTCACATGCAGCAGTAATACTATGCCTCCCGAAGTCACTCTTACTACATGAACAATTAAAAGTAGGTGTGTTCATTGACTCCTGTTTCTCCTCCTACCCTTACAATAACCATACTAACAGGGATGGCAAAATCCACACAAAGCAGGATTTATAATACTAAAAATAGTTTCCATGTATTCTAATCAATAAAATAACTTCTTAACAGAAGGCAAATAGAAGCTATAATGAGAGAACAGATGCAAAAAGAGAAAAGCAGCAACAAGCTAGAAGACGAGATAGAATTTTACATGGCTTAGAAAAAGAGGCAAGGAAACACAAGCTGAGACCTCAGGAGAGGTACTGAGATTTATTTTTTATTTTGGGGGGGGGGTGTGTTTTGGGGTTTTTTTAAAGATTTTATTATTATTGATACCAAGTCCTGAGTCTGGAACCTGGAGAACTCCAGAACCACCTTGTAGCAAAGAATAAATACACAAACCAGAGACCTAAGGATAGCCTATCCTTTAAGAGAAGAGTAAAGGAATTAAAACCATTGGTTCACACTACATAAAACCCTGCTTCATTCAAGGAAGGCTGACCTTCAGATGAGCTCTGGGCTACAGAAGGAAAGAATATTCTGCCAGGCAAAGACATGGTGAGCAAAAATCCACCTACTAGCATGCTAGGAGGAGAGCTGAAGAAGAGATTCCCCATGATCACCCTGGAGATCCTTTCTAATCCACAAGGAAGATACTCAGTTTAAGTAATCAGCAAATTAATGGTGGAAAGCCTGCATTGTAGTAAAAGGCAGATGAAATTATAGCTCATGAAAGGTAAAACAACATCAAAAATAAGCAACTTATGTTGCCTGAGTTGGAACTAAATGTATTAAGTACTACTGAAGCTAGAAGATACATAACTGGACTGATCTACAGTTACCTTATTCAGAAAGTAACTGAACCTCCTGACAAGTGAGAAACAGCATTATCAAAAATAGCATTTACCATTTCAATTGTCAAAGGGCTCCTTTGACATTATCACTCCACACACTCAGAGACTTTTGTGTTATCCAATGAGGCTACTGAAGTCTAAACAGATAACCTGCTATACCAAATAGGAACCATAGCAGAAGGTAAGAAGCCCAACTCCTCAGATGCCCATATAAAATACCAGAGGAAGGTCTGCTGGAATTATTCCAGCTGAATGACATTCACTGTATCTCAGACCTCTGACAGTAAGTCACCTCTGACATTTCTAGTCATCTGTTTCTTGAACTTACTGTTACAAGCCAAGCAATGCAAGCGTATTCAGTTTCATCTGATAAAGAAGAACTTTCACAGAACTCTGCACTAATTAAGATATAACCATTTAAGTCACATGAGAATATACAGCTTAAAATGCAAACTGGTGAAATAGCAGCAAATGTAAAACTGGCTATTTTTAAAAAAGTGGAGGACAACTGTAAATCAACCCAGGCATCAAATAAGCAGGAAAGAACACATCAGTTATGCATAAACAATTTCATTTGACGAACAGAAGTCATGGGGCATTCAAAATAGGAAAGATGGAGTTACAGAAGTAAAGGTAACCCTTTGGGAAAAAGAGAAGAGGAAGTTAGCTGTAAAGAACAGAGATGTATGAGAAGCAAGAAACAAACAAAAAAAACCAACACACAACAAATCCATGGCCAAAAAGTCTGGGCAGCAGAAAATATATACAAGAGTGCGGAATCCAGGTAATAGTACTCAACCATTCATAGACAAAAGCAGTGAAGATGGATAAAACATTCAATACATTTGTTCTAAATTTGTCAAGAATATTTATATAGACATTTATATAGGCAAAATAAGAAAGTTCATAAGAATTTAAGAAACAAGGCATTTAATTCAGTAATTATTTATTTATCAAACTACACCATGGTAAATCAATTGCTCAGATTTCAGTTTTATCATTGCAGTAGTACCTTGATGAATAAACTTTTCAAAAGATACCAAATCCTACCCGTCACTTTGCCTGATGAATTCTAATGCAAAACTAACATGAAGTGTGCTGTAAACTGGTTCAATAACAGACCTCACAGCATAATTACAAAGTCACTCAATAACTACATTTGTCATGGAGTGCTGCAGGAATCACACTGGTCCTGTACTGCATTTTACCAATAACTTGGATGAAAATAGAAGCCTTTGAAATATAAAGTATTTGAGATGGGACATGGAAGAGGACAGCTGGAAGGAAAAGTAAGTTTCTAACACAGTGAAGTAGAACTGTTTCTCACACTCAATACAGGTAAAAAGTTTAAAGATACTGTAAAAAAATAAACAAACAAAAAAAACAACCAACCAACCAAAAAAGACATAGCACATTGAGAACAGGAAACGTCACAAAACCCAATCTTGATAAGAACTTCAAATCATGACTGAAACAGTAGTTTTATTAATAAATAAATAAATAAATAAATAAATAGAAAAGCGTCATCCTGCCATCTAGAGGAGACTGGTCAGCAGTGGGTTTAATCCTAGTTTTGATAGCCAGGACTTTCAATAAGCAGTCAAGTTCAATTTCTACTATTAAATTTCAATACACAAAGATATAATCAAATCCAATACCTCTGGACCAAAACCACAAGTCCCTTAACTTTATTAAAAAGGTATTTTGGATTTTATTTCTTGTTTTCTTAATTATATAATCTGTAAGAGAAAAGAACTTAAAGACAGTACTAAGAAAAATAGTCCTGAGAAGCTCTGTTCAAACTTTGCATCTAATTTTCTGTGAAATCTTTAAGATAAATATATGACAAACAAAGCATTCAATGTATCATAACGTGAAGGAAAATAGACTTCGGTAACAAGAAGTTACAAACATGGCGAGATTTCACAAAGCTTGAAAATCCAAGATTTCAGTTACTAGAGAATAGGGGTTATAACTGCCAGACCTAAAGATATTTAATTGTTCACTCTGTCTTCTTTCTGTATTTATTTGTTCTCAGCAAAAATAAATGGAAATGCATGCAACAAATATTACTAATGAAACAACAACCTTGTCAGCCTTAATGTAACTCAGCCTCTGCTCTCCATTTAGCAGAACATTTAGCTAGCTGACACTTAAGCCTATAGCTTAACTGAGAAAACAAGCCATCGTCCAATCTCTGTATTCGACTCAGTTTTATATTGTTATAGTTTAACTTCTACCCCATTAAATGCTTTACACAGTTGTAACATGTTAGCACTGAGAGCAAAACAAACTTGCAGAGAGTATGATAAAATAGGCTTAATGATCTGTGCATAAGGAAGCATTAGGATATCCTAGGTTTACAGCGAGGAAGATTCTAGATGTCTGTTACTGCTTTTTTGTTACCCACTGAAGGGAAGGTGAAAGACCTCTAAATTTTAAAACTTTTGGTGCTTTGTGTAGCCCAAGAGTAACTGCAACTAAGGTCTACACTAGAGTAAAATTAAGCCGAAAATAATTAAACATGTCAGTATGTACAGGTTGCATTTAAAAGAAATGCAATACTCTTGACACCCTCAAAGCTGAATCAATCTGTTAACATTTTAATCCTAAACGTGATGCTGAAAGCAGCTTCTTTGTGAGAAAAAAAGATGAAAATTGGCGGCTTGTAAGAGGGATGAAGGTCAATTCTGGAACTCAACAACACCTCCCAGCACAACTGGGGTAGGGGGGGAGGGAAAAGAGGGGAAAAAAAAACCCACAGAAAACAGCTACAGAAGCAGAAAAACGTACGAACACTGAGTGACAGGGGAATCCTATACACAAGTGGAAGCTACCCTTTGCATGAAGTTTGACAAAAGCACTGCCACAAGTATTCCAAGAAATAGCTTTAACATCTGAGTGAGAAATTAAGCAAAGTGACCTGATTTATCTCAGGCAACATTATGTGCCACTAGACAACACCAGATTGACATGTGACCACTTGTTACCTCTGCATGGTTTACCCCATGCAAGTAGGCTGTAAGTTGGAGATGCAAGCTCGTGCTCTCATCCTGTTTTGGAAAGTCACTGTGATTGTCAGACACCTGCCAAATCTGTCAACACACTTTTACAGCAACAGATGTACCCTGACCGCATGCTTTAGTGGGAAGACTTGCAATGCAGTCAGTCACATCTGTGTACAGCACTTACATTCATCCAGTCCCAGCTGATAAGCCAGGTTCTGCAGGCCACGAACTTTTTCCATTAGGTTAGCGGTAGTGAGGCTCCCCAGCTCTAAGAAGAAAGAAAAGTGGGAATTTTAACACTGTCTATAGCCATCTAATGATAGTTTACCTGTTTAATACTTCACAGAGCACTTTTAAATCGTACTTCTGACAAGATATATTTCCAGTGAACAGAGCACGTTCTAAATTCAGATTGATGGCACACCTGGTATTAACATACTGAGAAAAGACAAGCTTTTTCTGTTGAAAAAGACAGCTACTGATCTGTTTCATAAGGTAATCTGCTACAATTGCAATGAGCTAACTTGCCGGATATTTTGGAAGTTCTTGTAAATTCATATTGCTATGTGAACAACCTATAACAGTATGCAAGGGAATGTACATAAATATTAATATTAATAATGTGTGCTTAAGCACACTTCTTGCAGAAAGCCAAAGTTAATTTGTCCCACTTTGTAACAGTTTATCTGCAATTCATAAAAGAGGCAGAACATGGTCAAGGATGTTTACTGCAAACTAATAGTTATAACACGCAGCAAATCTACATGCTAGATAGACCTCTGTAACTTGCTCACAGAGACTTACTGTTCGATTAGACATTCTAGATCTGTAAGTGAAGGTGCATGGGCATCAGATCTCTGAACATGTCAATCAATAAGTCTATACTGCTCACCAAGTTTGATCAGCTAAACTCCACCAAAAAATTCATGCCACCTCTCAAAATACAAGAGACACACACTATACATACAAAAGCAAGAGACTAGTAAGCATGGTAACTGAAATATATTTTTACATTACACTGTTTCAGCTGGTTCCTCCATGCTTGTTTTGAAAAGTCAGCCTGACATTCGGATATTCTCTTGGAGATAACTGGATTCATGAAAAATGTATATCATTAATGGGACAGAGAGACTCCTGAGCTGGAGATTCTGCAAACAGGGAGGCTAGAGATCAGAGGCCACAGCGCCACTTCCAAAACATTTAACAAACATATTCTAAGCCTCTTAAGTAAGTACTGAATTCACATCTGCCCTGGAGACCTTACTCTCTACCCACAATGTCCATACTCACCCTTTAACATGTCGATATCGTCATTTTCTAATTCAGCCATCCACTTGGGAGGGGAACTTGTAATAGGCTGTTTGGGGGAAAAAAAAAGTTCATACTCAGGTGCATTTTTAGAGTTATACCAAAGAGTCCTTGACAAGAAAACTCCAGATACTCTGTAGAAATATTTTTATGTCTAATCACGTTTGCTACCTTTCCCCAAACTTTTTAAAGTCAAAAAAAGCACACTATCACCCACAAGCCAAAGCCAGTATGAAAATCATAACACAGAATCATAGAATGGTTTGGCCTAGAAGGGACCTTAAAGCTCATCTAGTTTCACCCCCCTCTGCTACAGGCAGGGACACCTTCCACTAGACCAGGTTGCTCAAAGCCCTGTCCAACCTAGCCTTGAACCCTTCCAGGGATGGGGCAGCCACAGCCTCTCTGGGCAACCTGTGCCAGTGCCCCAGCACACTCTCATTAATTAACTTGTTATATCCAATATAAATCTATTCCTTTTCATTTTAAAACAGTTCCCCCTTGTCCTGTCACTACATGCCCTGGTAAAAGTTCCCACTCCAGATTCCTCGTAGGCCCCCTTTAGGCACTGCAAGGAAGGAGAAAAAAAAAAGGGGGTGGGGGGGAGGGAAGAAAGCGGGATTTCCTAAAGTTTAAAACCTTTTATTTCTTCCAAGATGCAATTCTCATTAACAGCTGCACAAGGTATTAAAAGAACACAAAAGAGGTATTAAACACACAAGGATTAAGCTAGCATATACTGAGGCTATACTCGAGACATACTTCACAGAACAAAGATTTGAAGCCCGCAAGAGGAAACAGCGGAGCTACAATCAGACGGGAAGGCGTAAACGCGACAGGCAAAGCAGCGATCGATTACTTACGCTTTTGAAGGAGGCGGCGAATTCGGCAACCCCAGGCACTGCCAAAACAAAACGAAGGGTAGCGATGGGTGCGCGTCTCTGGCGGCAGCGTCCCGCACCCGCCGGGCCTCTGTGGGCCAAAGCCCGCACCGCACAGCCACCCGAGAAAGAGCCGGGCCTGGCCGGGTCTACGCTCCCGCCCCGCAGCTGTCAGACCGCCGCCGGCCCGGCAGACTTACACTGCTCTGGCCACAGGTCCGGGGAGGCGCGGTCCAGCTTCTCGAAGCTCAGAAGCGAGGCCTCCAGATCAGTACCTGCAACAGAGAAGGGGTAAAGCACGGCCCCCGCCTCGCCAACGGAACAAAACAACACTAACAACCCTTCCCGCCTTACCTTCTGCGGGAGCCGCCATGTCGCCCGCCTCACGTGACGCGACGCCGTTCCCCCCGCCCCAGTGACCCCGCCCCCCGTGACCCCGCCCTCTCAGCAGAGCCCGAGGGAAGGGAGCGACAACAAACCACAGCCCGAACCCCACGTGTCGCTCTCGCCGCCACCGGCGGGAGGTGTTGCCGGGGGCGGTGCTCGGCCAATCGGGGCCCCGGTGGTCAGTGGGCGGCTTAGCTCTCGCGGCCAATCCACGGCCCGACACGGGGGGCGTGCAGGAGGGGGACGAGGCCACCGGCTCGCTGACGGCGATTGGCTGCACGCCCCGAGAGCCCCGCCGGAGCGGGTACAGCAGTGGCAGAGGCCGGTGCTCGGGAGGCCAATGAGCGCGCGGGGGCGGGGCCTCGGGAGGGCGGGGGGCGGGGCGAGAGGCGCCGTCGAGGGGGCGCGGTGCAGCGACCCTCGGCCGGGATGTCGGTGGCTGCGGTGGTGGCGCGTGGTGCTTGGGGCGGGCGGCCGCGGGTGGCGCTGAGGGTGAGGCCCCAGCCCCGGCTCGGGGTGGCAGGAGGGGACAGGGGAGGGGAAAGGAGCGGGCGGCGGAGGGGGGTCGCGGCCCACCTGGCCCGGTAGGTTGGACGGTCCCGAGGGGGAAGCCGGCGATGGCGGGGGATGGGTGGTTAGATGGACTCGTGCGCAGGGCGCGGGGGTCTGAGGCGGTCGGGAGCCCTGAGGAACCGGGCTGCTCTGTGCTTCCCCTCTTGTCCAGCTGCCGCGGAGACCCGGTGCCCCCTGGATCACCTCAGCCGCTGCCTCTTTCTCCTCGACTTCGGTGGTGAGTGCCCGTCCCAAGGAGCGGAGCCGGAGAGCAGGGAGGGCTGCGGAGCCCGGGGGGGGGGGCTGTTTCCTTCGTGAGGTAGTGTGGGGCAGCGCAGCCCAGCTGCCTTCTCTAAGGCTCCCGGTGGGTGTGTCTGGAGCAAACATTCGGGGCTGCCCGTGCACCGGGCACGGAGGGCCCCGCGCTCAGCAGGATGGGGGGGAAACAGTTCAGTGTCAGATTTGTTTGGCTCAGGAGCGCCGTCTCGGGCCGCTCCCACCGCGGGTCCCGGGTAGCCGTCCAGGGAATCAGCCACCATGTAGCGATCGAGCCCTGCCTGGCCCAGCGGGTATACCCCTAAGGACGGTGCGTTAGCTCAGTGTTTTCTCCATGTTCCTCAAGTAGCACGCCGGTTTTTCCCCGAGTTTTAGATTTCTTTTACTATGTGTAATATTCCTACAATAAGATCGGCAAAAATGGAGACTATATGACTAATGATAATATGTGAAAAAAAAAGTGGTATTGAGCTGTGGATGGGTGTCATATCATCCATTTGTGGCAGAGACAGAATCTGGTTTTGTTTGGGCAGTACTGAAGAACTTTAACTGTTACAGTGCCATTTTTCTTCCAGTATCCATGGCTGTACACTCTGTAGGCTGTGAACAGCTAAATCATGATTCTCCAAAACGTTTGCTTTGTAAGCATAGCAGGCTCATTCTGTACAGGAAAAAGGTGGTGATCTTGAGGAAAAAGTGTGATCACTCTTAATTCAGCATTTTCTGGCTCACTTAAAATATTTTTCCTTGTATGTGCGATTTTATAGATACCCATTTGAAGCAATTTGAAAACAAATATATCCTTAAGTTCCACTGCACTGAAGTCTACGTGGGTCACAGATTACTGGATCTTGTAGGTCCACTGAAGAGACCTTTTCTGACAGTCAGGAAACTCAGTCAAGCGACTCAGATATCCTGTGCTTCCTTCCAGGTTCTAGAGGGGTTGTGTTTTCATAAGCACAGACTTCTGCCTCTCTTTCTCAAGTGTAGTTCCAGCTACATAATCATCTGAAACATTTTATTCTTGATTATCCCCTGGTCTTGCATCCTAAAAAAAGGTCTTGCTTATCTGTTAACAGCCTTACTTTGTACTTCTCATTCTAGCTTTCTCTGCTTGTCTGTCTCTCATTGCTGTTCACTTTTTTCACTCTCAACCACTTCTCACTATCATTGTTTGTCCAGTCAACACCGTTTATATTCCTGATTCTTTCTCTGATCTCTTTCCCTTCATTACACCTTGGACAGCATCCTAATCCTCATCTCCCTCTCATAATTCCACATCCTAATTTCTTCGTACAGTTTTGTGATATGTTTGGGTTTATATCCCAGTTCTGTTGATCTGCCCCATTATTATTCTTCATGCAGCATTTGTGTCTTCATGCAGCAGATCTCTTTCCCCACCCTCTTATCCATTCTCCCCAAGCCACTGTTCTGTGGCATGATTAACTGGTTCTTGCTTTCTCCTAGTTCTCTCCTTACCTCCCAGTATCAATTCTTAGTTTCTGGTTTCTTCATTTATAGAGTCCCAGTCTGGTTTCCTACATGATGCAGTTCTGTTGCCTATCCAGCGCTAGTTACAGCTTCTACCTCTGCTTTTCCTTCTGTTCTACATTTACCAGAACTCCTTCTTCCAAACTTTCATCTTCTCTTCTCTGCATCTGAGTTGGAAAGTTCTGTTTTCTATGCTGCCTGTCCAGAGAGTCACTGTGAAACCTGCGGATGCAGGTTCCTTGCTGTCAGTTGCAGGACCAAGTGGGGAGCAGGGAAAGTCCTATTTTATGCCTGTAGCCATTAGTTGGAGAGATGAACCTACTTAGTGGCTTGATGGAAGGAAACACATAGGACAGTGTGCACTGGGTACATGGAATTCTTACAAGGTTTCTTCTGACCACTTACTGTACTTAGTGGCTTGATGGAAGGAAACACATAGGACAGTGTGCACTGGGTACATGGAATTCTTCCAAGGTTTCTTCTGACCACTTATTGTAGGATTTTCAGTTTTGTAACTTAGTAAATAGGTGATTGAGTGGATTGAAATAGTTCTGAACATAAGCATAGCAATGTATTTTTTCTATAACTTCTTGTGGAGAGAGTTTTGGCTGTTTTGGTGTGAAGTGAGGAAAAAAATAGGGCAGAGAGCATGTAAAACTTCAGCCTAAGCAGTTAGCTAAGTCTTGCTGTAAATACTGGATCTAGACTCTCTAGCAGGCAGTGTAGTGGTAAATGGTGAGGCACACTGGTGTTTAGGCACCTTGAGATGAAGAACACTTACTGTCCAGTATTTTGTCCCCCACAGCCAACAACCAAACTCTTCATTGATGGGAAGTTTGTTGAGTCCAAAACTACTGAATGGATTGATATCCACAACCCGGTAAGTGAAATGGTCTCAGCTTGTATATTAGGGATCACTGTGCAGCAAGGGTCTGTGCCTCTGTTCAAGTACATATGTTTTGTGAGAAAGGTTTATACTTGGAGCTTAAGATGGATTTTACACTGTGTAATTGCTTCTTAACTTCGATTTCACATGAAATGTCAGTCTTAGGAAAGTGATGATCTCCTTTATCTCCCCTGTGTAGTAAACCCCTGATCTCTGGAAAGCAAGCTTAAACTCTGCTTATGGTTTTTTTGCTCATAGACAGGCTCTGTGATCAGTATGTCAAATTTCTGAAGGGTTTCTTTCACCTGTATGTGAAATCAACCAGGTGTGATTTGGTGCCAGTGAGTCCTGATAGAGACTGATTTCACTCTCAGACCAAGGTAAAAAATGTTGACAGCTGAAGCTCCTCTCTTTTCAGAGAGTTTCTAACTGTGAGACACAATACTCCCCGTGAATTTATAGGTTAGATGCTATGCAGTGCAAAATAATCTTAGACTAGTAGCACTTGTCAGAGTCTTCCACCAAAGACAAATAGGGTTGCACTCACAACTCCTACCCTTCTGACACCCCTAGTAAGCCCTTAGTGATTTCTAAAACTTTTCTCTGTAAAGCCCTATTTTGGTTTCTTGTGTGGAGGTGATCAGAGCAGTGAGCTGTGTTTATGAAGCTCATTTCGTCTATATGTGGCAACCACTGTTCTTGTTTAATTTTCTTTCATTTTGAGTACTTTCTCGCTTAGTGATGTCCCTGTTTGTTTGGTTTTTTTTTTTTGTGGTGTCAAAGCAGATTTAATTTTTAAGAGTGCATTACAAGGAAGTTAAACTGGCAAAGACAAGCTTTTAAAGTTAAAATACTGTAGAACTAAGGTTGCTGGTAAAAATCTTACTTTCGCCTAGTGGTCTAGGTAAACTAACATCAGTGCCAGTGCACAGTCAGATACTGTTTTTTCATAAGGAACTTTGATTCTTTTAATGTGCAAGAGGGACAGCAGATGAGCCAAGACGATGCAGAAGGAAAAAGACCACAGTCCACAGAAGTCTACACTTACTGGAAGCTTCCAAATAGAGAAGTCATTTCAACTCCCAACTTGAAAATCAGCATTGCATTTGCACCTTTCTGGGTGCCAAGTCTGAGATGTGTAGAGGGCAGATTTTCAGAACTCTTCCAACTGTAGCCCAGGCCTTTGAGTGCACCAAGGAAGGAGTCTCTTTTGTGCTCAGATCCTTTTAGAACAAGGAAATTAAGTGTGTGGTGTGAAAGGACTGCTGACTGGTTGGCAAGAACAGGTGGAAAATTTGAGGTTTGCTGCAGTTTGATTTTTCCTTCAGGCCACAAATGAAGTGGTTAGCCGTGTACCAAAAGCCACAGCCAGTGAGATGGAGGCAGCTGTGGCTTCTTGCAAAAAGGCATTTCGGAACTGGTCAGAGACTTCTGTTTTGAGTCGCCAGCAAATCTTCTTGCGTTACCAACAGCTCATCAAGGACAATCTGGTGAGACAGCATGGCTTTGTGTGATGGCTGTTGAATGCGTTGCAGTCGACTTTAGGAATTGGTAGACTTGGGGTTTACATAGTTCTTGATGAGGTATTGTTGCCACAGTTGAGAAGCCAACTGAGCCACTGGCATTGAGAGGTGTAGCAAAGCACTCTCCATCAAATGGGGACAGAGAGGCACTGCTTTTCAGGGAATATTATTCTGCATTCCTCCCTTTACCGGAAGACCACAAGAGGAACAAACTTTCAGCCTCGATGGAAAGTGTGCCAGCTGGGAAAGAAGTGGGAGAAGTATGTTACTGTGTCTTTGGGTTTCCCTGATT